ACAGGGTTTCACCATGTTGACCAGGATGGTCTCGATCTCTTGACATCGTGATCCACCCGCCTCGGCCTCCCAAAGTGCTGGGATTACAGGCTTGATCCACCGGACAATAATATTATACATGCTTATTCCTTCCCAATGTTAAAAATGCATATATTTTAATGAGCAATTATGTACGAGCATGCAGATTAATAACATATAGTGGATAACATTATATCCAATTGTGGAAAATACTAGTAACATTTATGCAGTAGACTAGATGTTCCCAAACTTGGATCACCAAAGCGTGTTCAAAAAATTCAGATTCTCAACTCCCACCTCGATACTGTAACTCAGAATGTCTGCACAGGACCTGGAATTCTTGTCCTTCAATAAAAGTGCCCAGAGTCACAATAAAGTAGCCTGGCTTGAGGCCACCATTTGGTAACCAGATTTGAAATAAATTCCCAAAATTAAAAATTATTTTTCCACATCCAATTAGCTTACTTCCTTCATTGATGACAAGTATAAATTACTTTTTTTTGCCCAGGTTATTACATTTCCGTTGTATTCAGTTTTAAATTATGTTAACATTATCTCCTCCTCCATTCTGAAGCTACTAATTGCTTTCCGAAACTATTTTTTATTTCTGGTTTTATTATATAAGCTAAGATTCAAACATAGTTTCCAGAATTGAAACACTATGTTGACATTGGGAGATCTTTGTTTTAACTTTGGTTCTGGTGCTAACTAATTGGTCTTATCTTGTAACAACTTTACACCTCAGTTTTCTTTTATGTGAGATAGAAAATAATTTAACAACTCTATTGTCCCTGGTTGTTTCATAAGGATATAAGAAAAATTCATCTTAAAATACACATAAAAGAACCTTGTTATGAAAATATTATCTTTAAGTAGCACTCAATAATCCTCCTTTAATCAATGAAAATAAGTTTTAAATAATCTTTTCTTAATCTGCTCTCACATAATTTGTGGCAGAAGTGGAACATACAATATACACCACAAAGAACTTGTCAAATTATTGGCATTTTAATTCAGCGACTGAAAAGAAACTAATTTTAACTAAGAGCACAGATTTCTGAGGTTAAATCATTATTAAATATCTGGCTTACCCACCTTTTCAAGTCATCAAATACATCTGGCAACAAAAAGTTTAGCAATGACCAAAGTTCTGATAAATTGTTTTGCAAGGGAGTACCAGTCAAAAGAAGTTTGTTATCAGCATTGAATCGTTTTAACTCCCTGATTAGACGGCACTTCATATTCTTAATCCTGTGTCCTTCATCTACTATTAAGTATTTCCAATAGCAATGCTAGAAAAAGAATTGAGGAAAAAAATGTTTAAACAATTATCTCACAATTTTTCTAACAAGAATTCTAAAAATAAAACCGCTATTATGAGAAATGACTGTTGAATTTTATCAAATGTATTTCAGTAACTACTGACTGACTACTGAGATGATCATGTTTTTATTTGATCCACTTATGAGGATTCCTAAAACTGACAGATATTTATGTTCCTGGAAGAGCCCTACTTCAATATGCAATAAAGTTTGAACGCCACCTATTCTGAATTTAAGATTTCCCCATTCACACCTTAGTCAATGCAGTCACAGCTTTCATTTCTAATGTTTTCCCACTTTTTATATTAATGTTACACTAGACTACCAAAAAGTGAGACCTTTTATTAGTTTCATATGCTCTGAAACATGAAATAGTACTAAAATTTTCCCTTCTTTAAGCAATTTATATTTTCACAGAAAGTCATCTACTTTCATAAAGCTGTCATGAAAATTTAACTTTCTCATTTTAATATCTGTGATTTCTAATGTATCTTAATCAGGAAAATTTATAATAAATTATGAAAGCGAATGACTTTCTGTGAAAATATAAATTTATTACAATAAATTGTAATAAATATTTCTGTATTTTAATAAATTATTTAATAAATTAACATACAGAACTATTTCTGGAAATGTAAATACCAAGCTGAAAAATATAAGTATACTTGAATAATGGGACTGACAAATTGACAAGAGTACAGAGAATGTTTTGCATTTTACTTTATATATCCCAACAGAATGAAAAAAATGTATAAGATTATATCTTCTTTATTAAAATAACTAGAAAGGGATTTATTTTCCTGGTAATATGGTAAACCAGAAAACCTGAATTACCTTTCACTGTTAAGACACCTATCTAAAAAATACCAGATAAAAATATAAAATATCCTTGGCCGGGCACAGTGGCTCATGCCTGTAACTCCAACACTTTGGGAGGCCAAGGCAGCCAGATTACCTGAAGTCAGGAGTTTGAGACCAGCCCGGCCAATATAGTGAAACCCTGTCTCTACTAAAAATACAAAAATTAGCTGGGTGTGGCGACACACGCCTGTTATCCCAGCTACTCAGGAGGCTGAGGCAGGAGAATCACTTGAGCCCGGGAGACGGAGGTTGCAGTAAGCCAAGATCGTGCCACTGCACTCTAGCCTGGCTGACAGAACGAGACTGTCTAAAAAAAATACACACACACACACACACACACACACACACACACACACACACACACACACACNACAGAACGAGACTGTCTAAAAAAAATACACACACACACACACACACACACACACACACACACACACACACACACACACACACGTTTATATCCTTTTACAGTAGGTAGATGAGAGAAAAGAAAACAAGGAAACAAATGATGAGGAAACTGAAAACAAAATTAGCAAATGAACTCAGTTACTTTGGCTTGCACTCAGCAACAAGGGCCCTAGAACCTCACACTCCCATTACGACCAAAAGCTAAGACCCTTGAAATGATAACACAAGCTCAGTGAAATGGGAAACTTGGAAGTTTCTAGCCACTGGCAAATGAAATGAACAAGAAAGCTACTATTTCATTACAGGATGGGTAGGGAAAACAAATTAGAAGGGTCTTCGTGTTATTTTGCTGAGTAGAAAACACAAGTTGCAAGAGTGAATGCAGGCTGGGAGCAGTGGCTCACACCTGTACTCCCAGCACTTTGGGATGCTTAGGCAGGTGGATGGCTTGAGCTCATGAGTTTGACGCCGTATCTCTACAGAAAATACGAAAATTAGTCAGGTGTGGTGATGCATGCCTATAGTCCGGGCTACTCAGGAGACTGGGGTGGGAGGATCACTTGAGCCAGAGGTTTAATCTACAGTGAGCTGAGATCGTGCCACAGAATTTCAGCCTGGGTGACAAAGTTAGACCCTGTCTTGGGAGGGAGCGGGGTAGTGAAGTATAGTATGATCATATGTGTAAATTAATATACATGTTAGCTGTAGTTATTTACTGTAAAAGTAGTTCTCAGGTAGAATTACAGGTGCTTTTACATCTTCCTGTACACTACCCTTTGTTAAAAAAAAAAGAAAAAGAAAAAATCGGTATATATTACTTTCATTGTAAAGAAAATATGGAGTCCCCAACCCCTAGGCCACAGACCCGTAGGGGTTCATGACCTGTTAGGAACCAGGCCACATAGCAGGCTGTTAGTGACGGAAGCTTCATCTGGATTTACAGCAGCTCCCCACTGCTCCAATTATGGCCTGAGCTCCTCCTCCTGTCAGATCAGGAGGCATCAGATTCTCACAGAAGCATGAACCCTACTGTGAACTGCACATCCAAGGGATCTAGGTTGTGCACCCCTTATAAAAATCTAATTTCTGATGATTTGTCACTGTCTCCCATCATCCCTAGATGGAAAACAAGCTCAGGGCTCCCACTGATTCTACATTATGGTGAGTTGTATAATTATTATAATTATAATCTCGCTTGGTTGCCCAGGTTGTAGTACAGTGGTGTGATCTCAGCTCACTGCAACGTTCACCTCCCAGGTTCAAGCAAGTCTTCTGTTCTAGCCTTCTGAGGAGCTGGGATTACAGGAACATGCCACCATGCCTGGCTAATTTTTGTGTATTTTCTAGAGACGGGGTTTCACCATATTGGCTAGGCTGGTCTCAAACTTCTGACCTTAAATGATCTGCCCGCCTCGGCCTCCCAAACTGCTAGGATTACAGGTGTGAGCCACTATGCACAGCCCTTTTATTTCATTATATATTATTACAATTTTATACTAAGAATAAAGTACACAATAATTGTAATGCACTTCAATCATCCCAAAACCATCCCCATGGTCCATGGAAAACCTGTCTTCCACAAAACCAGTTCCTGGTTTTTTTTTTTGAGACAGAGTCTCTCTGTAGCCCAGACTGGAGTGCAGCGGCACAATCTCAGCTCACTGCAACCTCCACCTCCCGGGTTCAAGGAATCCTTGTGCCTCAGCAGGGAGCTGGGATTACAGACGTATACCACCACATCCAGCTAATTTTTATATTTTTAATAGAGACAGAGTTTCGCCATATTGGCCAGGCTGGTCTGGAATTCAAGGGATCTGCCTGTCTCAGCCTCCCAAAGTACTGGAATTACCAGCATGAGCCTCCATGCCCGGCCTGGAGTTTACATTCATAAACTCTGCTAAACTCCTGAGCTAAGACTTCCGCAAATCATATTCCAAAGTTTTACCAGCACACATGCAAAACCTGACAATACTGGTCATAATTACACAAGCCATAATTATTCCATTTATGACTTATGTGTTTTGAGATTTTATACTGAAACCATTAAGTACTTTCCTATCTCCCAACAAGCAAGACAAACCTAAGGGGACTACACTAAGCAGTGCTCTCACACGGTCAGAGAAAGGAAAAACAAAGCAGTAAAGAGAAAAATGAATGAGGTTGAGCAGGAAGGAAGAAGCTCAAAACACCAATAAATGAATTAACAGAAGGCACAAAAGAAGAAAGGTCAATTTTCCAATTGTTACGCTAACTGGACAATTAATAAGTAAATAGCTAGAACATCAGGAAAAACAGAAATGAAAATTTTACCTAAAGTCCAATAAGATAGTCTAAAAGCAACTTGTCTTCAAATACTCTTATTTGATTAAAATACAAAGGATAGGTAAATTCCATATATTCAAAGAACCTGTCACAAATATATCTGTAATATCTTCAGAGATTAGGTCTATTTCTGGATGATTCTAAGATATTAAAATGGTATTATAGCCATAGGTTAAACTGCCATAAGCTTTAATTATATTGTTACAAACGACACTCTTCATCCCAATCACTCTGTTAATATAAGCTTGCAGGTTCTACAGGCATATATGCTCAATATAATCTATTCCTTCAACAACAAAAAAATTAAACAAATGCTTCCGAATGGTAAGAAAGCAGTATAAATTAAGAAAAACATGCTTTATATATTACAAAGAAACCAGACCATTTGTACCTGTAATGCATTTCTGTCTCTCATGGCTATTTCAAATGATGTAACCACCACAGGATGAATCTGCAGAGTCCCTTGCCGTTTGTGAATATTCCTTA